TTGGACTAGATGACCTCCAAGGTCCCTTCCAACTTTATCATTATTATTATTATTAACCATGACTTGAATGTCATGTGCATTATGACCTTCTGATGGAAGAACTTATTTATTTTGTCCTTCTTTTCAAAGCTAAATCTAAGCGGTTCCCTCAAACGGAAGGAAGACCCTTGCTTATCCTCACTGCCTTTCTTTATACTTGGTGGTACTTCAGTTTGGTTTGTCTGGGCCCTTCTTAAAATATGTTGCTGGACTCTACATTTTTGCCTTTTACAATGATTACAACAGTGTTTCTCAGCTTTGACAGCTTTAAGATGTGTGGACTGCAACTTCCAGAATTCCCCAGCCAGCCATGCTGGCTGGGGAATTCTGGGAGTTGAAGTCCACACATCTTAAAGAAACCAAGTTTCAGAAACCAAGTTTCACAATTCTCAACTTTTCCTTCTGGCCAGAACTGGAAGCGTTCTAACTTGGGACAATTTCTCACCTGCCGTCTCCTATCTGACCTCTGGAGGGCGCAAAGGCTTCACTCCAATTTTTCTCCTCTTAGTAATATACAGCCCAGTTGCTTTCCATTCCTGTCCCATCAACTGGCCTGAAATGCACTGAAGCTTGCTATCCCGCTTTCTGTGCAATAATCAGCGACACGAAGTAGTCCAGACAAGAAGCACACCCAGAACTACCAGCTTTATCCCTATTGTAAGGTTACACGAACAGAATCTTGCAAATCTGAAAGAACCCCTCACTCCCTTCATTTTTACTCTCCCCAAAACTAAGAAGGGTCTTTCACCCACCCTCTTCCTTTGGGCTTAAAGAATTCTATTTATCACAGTCTTGGCTGGTTGCAAATCTTTCACAGATCTACAATATCATTCCCACAGACCATTACATCAATTCACCTGCTGCTCCTTTAGTTAGCTTCTGTACACAGAATGGGAACTGGGATTCCTGTGTAGTGATGAAAATGTCTGAACAAAGACCTAGATTCTAATCTTTGCTTAGCCACAGTCACAGTTTGCTTAGCCACAGACTCTAGAACAGTGATGGCGAACCTTTTAGAGTGCCCCAAAACCGCCCCCCACCTGTCCCCGCTCCACCGTGCCCACTGGGCTACCCACCACCTCTACGGCCCACCACAGATCACTCAGGTAGCCCAGCAGTGTAATGGCGGCCACGCCCTCCACCTGTGTCCCACAGCAGCATCTGCATGCGATGGGGCTATCATGTCCTTGGCTGCACTGCTTCATGTTGGCCATGCCCAGGGGCGACTCTCCTCCAGGGGGCTGCTAGTGAGGAGGGGGCCGTGGGAGGAGGCAGGGTTGGGGCGACGCTGCATGTGCCCACAGAGAGGGCTCCGAGTGCCGCCTCTGGTACCCGTGCCATAGGTTCACCACCACTGCTCTAGAAACTAGAGTACGGAGAAGAGCAACAAAGATGATTAGGGGACTGGAGGCTAAAGCATATAAGGAACGGTTGCTGGAATTGAGTATGTCTAGTTTAATGAAGAGAAGGATGAGGGGGGACATGATAGCAGTCTTCCAGTATCTCAGGGGCTGCCACAAAGAAGAAGGAGTCAAGCTATTCTCCAAAGCACCTGAAGGCAGGACAAGAAGCAACAGATGGAAACTAATCAAGGAGAGAAGCGACCTAGAACTAAGGAGAAATTTCCTGAAAGTTAGAACAATCAACCAGTGGAACGACCTGCCTCCAGAAGCGGTGAATGCTCCAACACTGAAAGTTTTTAAGAAGAGACTGGACAGCCATTTGTCTGAAATAGTATAAAGTTTCCTGCCTGAGCAGGAGATTGGACTAGATGACCTCCAAGGTCCCTTCCAACTTTATTATTAATATTATTATTATAATAATAATGTCTCAATCCTAAAATCAGTCAAATAATAACTTTGCCCTGAGTTATTTTGTTGTGAATTTATAACTGAGGATAGAGGGCAAAGTGGAAAAGGCTGATTTCCCCCAGTTATTATTTGGATTCCCTCCCCGTTTTGGGCGAGATTTCTTTTAATGAAATAAACAACTATAAAGGGAGACCTTTGCCCACAGCCTCTCCTTCTATGTTTAATCACTAAAATCCGGCCAAGTTAGCAGAGCAGTCACAGGCAGTCTTTCCCCAACCGGGTGCCCACTAAATACAAATCTAAGAGGTGTAGTGTTACAGTTCCCATAATCCTCAACTCTTACGGCCATAAGGAGTTTCATGCTCTCCTGGTTTTGTCCTCAGATACCCCCTGAGCTGTGGTACAACTCCATCTAACCTGGATGGCAAAAACCCTGGTATTTACCGAAGTCGGGCGCGGTGTTCGTAGCCTTGACTCCGAACTAAAGTGTTGTAAACTCGGTTTACGGGAAATCAAGGCGGGCAGGGGGAAGACTAGGCTGAGCGAGAAAACCCCCGCGGACACCGCAACCAGCAATTTTAACCAACCAAGTTAAAGCAGCTTCTCCACGCGGCAAGTACGAACGTTGCGGGGACCAAGCGCGTGTCGCTCAGTTACGTGTGAATGCACGGGCAGGCACGCCTGTGGCCAAACTGCATTTCCCCCCCCCCTCTCCCAGGGGGTAAAATCCCTTCGATGTCAGCATTTTCATTTGACTCGCAGCAGTTTCGATCTCGATCGGTTAAAATAAAAGAAGGGAAAACTTCGATTTCCCCTCTTCCCCCCCCCCCCCCGGACTTGAAGCAACAGGAAAGACTCCGATTTGGCTACCTCAAGAAAGAGCCGGGGCCGGTTTTGACCAAGTTTGCGCAATCCTCCCTTTTCCCGCCAATCAATCCCCCCCCCTCCCGCTCGCGTAGTTTATTTTGTCAAGCGGGAAAGGCGGACCGAAAGCGGAGCGGCTTTTCGGTGGCTGGTTGGCAACGTTTGCGGTGGAATTTCCCTGCTTTTGCGGCTGCGGTGTGGAAAGCGGAGCGGCGATCGGGATTCCTCGGCGGCGCAACATGATCCCGGAGCTCTGTTGGCTCTCCAGCTTCGTGGCAGGTAGTGGGAGCGGGTGGCAGCGATCCAGCCCCCGGAGGGACGATTTGCGCGGGGAAGGAGTCAAAGCACCTCGCTCTGTTTCTCTCTCTCTCTAACCTGGTTCCAATGTTCGTTTGTTTTTCTGCCCGCTTTCGAATAATCCCAACTTGCGATTCGATTTTGTGACGCTTGCATTTGCTTTGGCGCTCTTTCGGACCACCCTTCTCCTCGCGTCCCCGTCGGTCTTTAACTCTTCTTCTTCCCGGTTTGGAATTCGAATCCTGTGCAGAATTCCCATGAAATCCTCTCCGCCTTTAGAACCTTTGCGTGACCCAAGCTAACCAAGGAGAGAACCAACTTAGAAGTAAGCAGAAATTTTCTGACTGTGGAAATGATTCATCAGTGGGAACGACTTGCCTCCAGAAGTTGTGGGTGCTTCAAGACTGAAGGTTTTTAAGAAGAGATTGGACAATCACTTGTCTGAAATGGCATAGGGCAGTGATGGCGAACCTTTTAGAGACCGAGTGCCCAAACCGCAACCCAAAACCCACTTATTTATCACTAAGTGCCAGGGGAGGGCAGGGAGGCGCCTCTGAGTATTGCCTCTGGCACGCAAAAACCAGGGGCACAAAAGCGGGCCACCGTGCTGCAAGGTGCAAAAACGGCTGCTGCCACGCCGTTGGGTGCAGATACAAGATGCTGCACCACGCAAGAACGGGGCAGAGTATGACGCAGCATACCCATTTGCAGCACGTGCGTGCTCGCGGTCCCGTGCCCGCATGCACACATGCACGCATGTAAAATGCTTCCCCCTCCCTTTTCTTCCAGTCCACTAATCGACAATGGTTGGTGACCTCTGCTCCACCACCTCTACTCGAGCTTGCTAGTTGGCCGCTTCACCTCCTTTGTGCTGGGCGGGGCTCCTGCTCTGGGCAGCGGTGGCAGCCTGATGGATCTGCTGCTGGCGGTGGCGCACGTGCCAAGAGAGAGGGCTCTGAGTGCCACCTCTGGCATGCGTGCCATAAGTTCGCTACCACTAGTATAGGGTCTTCTTGAACAAGGGGACTGGACTGGAAGACCTCCAAGATCCCTTCCAACTCTGTTATTCTCTTACTCCATTCCCCTGCCAAGATTTTGCTTTCTCTAGTTCTAGTTTTCTTTTCCTAGCCTTCTGCGCTGCGCTTAAGTGTCCTTGGATTCTGCCTGTTCTCTGTAGATCCCACCAGTTTAGTAGTGAGATTTACACCCAGGTGGAAGGGGAATTCTACAGGTAGTCCTTGATTTGTTTAATAACCATTCAAAGTTACAACAGCACTGAGAAAAGTGCTGAAGAAAAGTGACTTATGACCATTTTTCACCACTCACGGCCATTGCAACATCCCTGTGGTCATGTGATCAAAATTCAGATGCTTGGCAACTGGCATGTGCTTAAGACAGTTGCAGCATCCGACGGTCATGAGATCACCTTTCGCAACCTTCTGACAAGCAAAGCCAGGGGGCAAGCCAGATTCACTTCACAGCTGTGTTACTAACGTAACAACTGCAGTGATTCACTTAACAACCGAGACAAGAAAATGGGGCCTAAAATGGGGCAAAACTCACTTAGCAACTGTCTTGCTTACCAACCAAAATTTTGGGCACAGTATTGGTTATAGGTCGAGGACTACCCATAATGGGAAATAAACCAGCAAAGAAATTCACGCAGTTGAAAGCAAAGTTCTACAGAACTTGATGGGATCTGTTTCCCTACAGCAGAGGTCCCCGACCTTTTGGGCACCAGGGACCTGTTCCGTGAAGAGAGATTTTCCACGGACCGCAGGGGGTGTGGTTTCATGTACTACCTGCATCCTGCGGATGGGGCTTTGCTTGTTTGTGCGGACTGGTTTCTGGTATGCTGCGGACTGGTGCCGGTCCATGGACTGGGGTTGGGGACCCCCTGCCCTACAGGAGATCCAAGCTGAGTTTGCACATGACAAACTGAAACACAAAGGAAGCTACATTTTCACCAGTCTAAAGTCCAGCTGAAATGCTTACGGGATTTCCTCTTCGCTGACGATACTGCTGTTACTGCTCACTCTGCTGAACATCTTCAACAACTTATGGACTGTTTTAGTAAGGCCTGCCAAGACTTTGGTCTAACAATCAGCCTGAAAAAAACACAAGTCAGTGGGTCAGGATGTGGATCCATCTCCCTGTATTACAGTCTCTGCACAGGAACTGGAGGTTGTCCATGACTTTGTGTACCTCGGCTCAACTATCTCTGACACTCTCCCTTTAGATACTGAGCTAAATAAACATATTGGTAAAGCGGCCACCACATTTTCCAGACTTACAAAGAGAGTATAGCTTAGTAAGTTGACAGAACATACAAAGATCCAGGTATATAGAGCATGCGTCTTGAGCACACTCTTGTATTGCAGTGAGTCTTAGACTTTTCATGTACAGCAGGAGAGAAAGCTGAACACTTTTCATATGCTCTGTCTCCGACGTATTCTCGGCATCACCTGGCATGACAAAGTCCCAAATAGCGCGGTCCTGGAGTGTGCTGGAATCTCTAGCATGTATACACTATTGAAACAGTGATGTCTATGCTGGCTTGGGCATGTCGTGAGAATGGCTGACGGTCAGATTCCGAAAGATCTCCTGTATGGAGAACTAGTGCAGGGAAAGCGCCCCAGAAGGAGACCTAAGCTGTGATATAAGGATATCTGCAAGAGGGACCTAAAGGCCTTGGGAATGGACATTAACAGCTGGGAATCCTTGACCTCTGATCGTTCAGCCTGGAGGCTAAAGACACAGCGTGACCTTCTCTAATTCGAAGAGACACTTGTGCGGCAGGCTGAGGCAAAGAGGCAGTCCCAGAACCAGTGAAATCTAGGGACTGGACAGGTGACAGATTATATCTGCCCTCAGCGTGGAAGTGACTGCCACTCTTGAATTGGCCTTTTTAGCCACACCAGATGCTGCCTTAGGACCTCTTTCCAGAGCACGATACCATAATCTCTCGAGACTGAAGGATGGCAGTGATGATTGTGGGAACTTGGCCCGTGTAGTTCACTTGATTGATTTGGACCGTCATTGATGAAACATGCCAAGACTGTATGCATGGGAAAAACTGGGCTGGTGAGAGGGAAAATGCTATTGGAAAACTGCAACAGCTAAAGAAGGCAGGTTTAAGCTGGTTGAGGTACAGGCTGTAGATGAGGCAGAGACATCGTGAACAAATGACATTAAAAACCAGCTCTGGGGACAAGTTTGTGCTGCAGTGCCTGAGCCTCACAGTTTGCTTTTTAAATAGTAATTTTATTAAAAATAATAAGCAACAAATATAAACTTAAAGCAATCAAAGAACAACAGAAAAAAAAAATAGAAGATGAGAAAAAAATAGGAAGAAAATCAGAAGAAAAAAAATAGAAATATGATAAAGGAAAAGAAAAGAAGTGACCTTCCCCCTTCATTGCAGGTATAAACAGGTAACTGAACACAGGGCTTTCCAACCTTTTCACCCACTGTACCACTTTTAGGAGATGGCAATATCCGAGCACCACCAGTCGCTTAGCAAGGTGTCAAAAACTTGATGACCAAAAAAAAAAAAAAAAAAAAAAACCAGAAAAAAGTGATAAAATACAGGTAGTCCTCGACTTAAAACAGTTCCCTTAGTGACTGTTTGAAGTTACAATGGCATTGAAAAAAATGCCCCCCAAGCCATAGCCGAGCAAGACATCTGCCTGCCCACCCTGCGGCGCTCTTCCTCCTGTCCGAGGTTTTCATTGTGAGCATTTCTGTTGAGGATTGGCAGCAGGGGTGGGGTGTTTGGTTTTTATTCCCCCCCATCTGCTGGGTGGTTGCAGCAGGTTTTGGTCACTTCACATGACCCTGGGACACTGTGACCGTCATAAATATGAATCAGTTGCCAAGCATCTGAATGTAAATCACAAGACCCTGGAGATGCTGCAACATTCCAGCTGATCGGCGCTTCTTCTGGGCTCACCAGAAGCACCAGGATCAGCACCGAGCTCCAGCTGGAGCCTGGCGCTGATCCTGGCACTTCCACTGAGCCTTGACAGCCCCGAAGAAGTGCCGATCAGCTGGAAAGCAGCACTGATTCTGGCGCTTCCGCTGAGCCCTGACAGCCCTGCAGCTCCAGCCATCTCTCACTCAGGCTTGTGCGGTGCTGCCACCAGTTCAGCTCATTCCCCTCCCCCGCTACCACTTTTTCTAGGATGGTCGCGTACCACCTGCCAGGTGCCAATGTACCACAGGTGGTACCCATACCACTGGTTGAAAAGCCCTGACTTAACACATTCTCTTAAAATACAACAAATGATCACTTCTCAAATTCCATCTCTTATCTATAAAGAAATCCTTAAAAACTCGGTCATCTCAGTACCGATCGGCAAAATCTGCTGGAGATGCTGTCTTGCGGTCTCCTTGGAAGGAGTAGTTCTATGGAGCACTTGTGGGTGATTTCCAGTCCTTTCCTTGTCCAGAGAGGAATTACAAAGAGCCAATCTACTTGCCAGCTCTTCATTCCACTGGAGTCATAAAATCATAGAATCATAGGTCTGGAAGGGACCTTGGAGGACTTTCAGTATAAGATCTTTAGATTAAGTGGGTTGGGGGACGGGGAAGTGCTACTCAGATGTAAATAGAGCAGAGAATGCTTTAATTCAGCTCCCAGAATTCCTGAGCCAGCCATGCGGAGGGGAAAGGGAGAGGTTTCCAAGCTGAGCCATGCTGGCTCAGGAATTCTGGGAGTTGAAGTCCATGAATCATAAAAGAGCCAAGGTTGCCTACCCCTGCTTTAAGCCAATGTTTCTTAACCTTTTTTTTTCCTCTCAGGACCCCTTCCCATTTTTAAATATTATGGAGGACCCCCAAAAAGCTTTTGTTTGCATGAGTTACATTCATCAATATTGACTTGGTTAAAATTAATTTTTAATTATTTTTTGTGTTACGGTTACCATACCAGCATCACAAAGAAGAAGCATTAAAAAAATAAAATAAAAGAAGACAAGATA